CCAGCGTCCGCGTTGCTGGCCCCTTCCATGTGCCTCGTCTCTCCCCTGCGAACGGCATACGTTTGCCCAGTGATTCGCCTTCCCGCATTTGTTGCAGGTGGAGCCGTGCGCTGGGCACTTGCTTGGGTGGTGGGTTCGTCCACATTTGCCGCAGTCTGCGTGTCCCACAGATTTGGAAATGGCGTGAACCGTTTCAGGTAGACGGCTGCTGCTGGTGGCGGTGGACAGCTGCTCCATGTGGCGCTGTGTTGCTTCATAAGTACGGGCCTTGTCAAGCGCTTCGTCCAGAGTCAAATCACTACCACCCTCCAGCAGGCGTTCTTGCACTTTCGAGTGCTTCGTCCCCACGATTAGCTGCTCTATCAGGCGATCGTTAGTCTCCTGAGCGTCCCTGAACTTGCACTTGGACGTCTTCTTCTTACACCTCGCAAAGAAATCATCTACAGACTCGTCGGGTTGCTGGCGGTATTTCTGAAGCTCAAACCGAGCCAGTCGTGCATTTACCCGTGGCTGCAAATGCTTATTAAATTTCTTGAAGACGGCAGCTACTTTGGATTTGTCGCTTGCATTATCCCACTCGAAACTATTGAAAGCATCAACACCAGTTCTCCCGATCCATAGCATGACATAGGCGACCTTTTCCTTGTCGGACTTGTCGGAAAAGGGCCCTTGGAAAACTAGAAGGCAGTATTGTTGGAACCGCTCGAATTCATCAGGTAAATCTGCGGCTTGCCAATCCATCGACGGCGGGGTAAATCCGGCTGCTTCTGCCATTTTACCTCTTGCACCGGTGGCGCTACTGCGACAATTCTAGGGCGTTTATTTAGTTTACTTCTGACACCATGTTTCGGGGTAAACAAGTTAGTTGTCTACGATAGGATTATATTCTCACTTGGCCATTGTAGGCAAATCAAGAACCACGACATCTAAAGGATGCTGCATGAAAGTAGGCAGCTGCGAGATGCGTATCTCGCGCATGCTCTTGCATGGCTACGTAATGCATTACATCATAATACAACAGAGTCCAGCAGCACACAGGCACTGTCTAGCTATCCTGCACAGCGAGACTGCAGAAAACAGTGCCGATTTGTTCCAAGTTGAGCTTGCCGTCACAATTGATGCAGGTGAGCCATTCGTAAAGAAAACATACATCCTGGAGGGGGATGGACCACTCAGCACCAATGCCTACCAGCACTTGCAAGAAGTTGCTACAGCAGCTCGAGATGCTTACTACCCCAATGTTGCTGCTGTGGTGAAGAAGATCGCACATGACAACCGACAGCTACAGAAGGAGCTGACAGCTCATGCCACAGCTTGTGTTCAGCCAGCCATATGCTACTTCCTGCGCAAGTTTAACCACGTCGAGTCTCCTCTTCATGCTGTTGTGGCAATGTACAAAGCAGCACGCCTTGCATGCCCCAAGCACGTTGCGAGGACCAATCCTGCACCAGCTGAGGTCGATACCCTACGTGTACTCCCGGTGTTAGATGACGATCAGCTCATCAACGACTTGAAGCTGGAGCTTGCGCCCTACAAGGTTGCTGCTGCAGAAGCTGACATCGCTAATGACGACGATTTGGCCTGGTGGAGAGAGCACGCTGAACTTTCGCAGTGGAGCAAGGCTGCCAAAGTTCTTTTGACGGTGCCACCGTCTTCCGCTTCGGCTGAACGAGTCTTCTCCCTTTTACAAGCAGCCATGACGTCACAGCAAGAGCGCACCCTGGAGGATCATATTGAACTACAGCTGATGCTACAGTACAACCGCGGTCGCATGAGTTTGGAACTGTGAGTGGTTCTGGTATGCAGTGGCTATATTACTCCACCATGTACTTTGCTAGGTCATTCATGATGGCTGCTGCACTTCTGGCAATTGGACTGTCTTCCTTATCAGCTGCCATGCTGCTCTTGCGTTCTACATTCTTCTTTTTGGACATGCAGCAGGTACATGTAAGATGTATCTGTCTAGTGTGGTCATGCATATACAACTACACTGCCTTATCTCAGTATGAGCCAATTGTGGATACATTTCTTTTCCATGTGCATATTTGCCCAAGATAGCTCGAAAATGTACATATCACTCTAGCATTATAGTGTAAATGGAGCATTATAACAGGCATTATGCCGTGAAATATCGAGCACTGCCAAAAGCATTATACTGTGAAAAAACGAGCATTAGCCGCCGATGCCTACTTCCCATAGCTATGCGAAAGACGTTACTTGAGTAACGTCTGGCGCTAGCCAGGGTCCACACAGCTTTAATTCCCGTAGCTATGCAGAAGACGTTACTTCAGTAACGTCTGGCGCTAGCCAGGGTCCACACAGCTTTAATTTGGTGTTTGTGTGTTTGTTTGTTTGTTTGTGTCACGCCTGGCGCTATCCCGTATCTGTCCCGTATCGTACCGTACCGTACCAGCCAAGACAGCTGGCCACAATATTTTGGTTTGTTTGTGCCATCGGCATGCCTGGCGCTATCCCATACTTGTCCCGTACCATCAAGAGTACGGTACGATCAAAAGAATGAGTATATAATTATGCGAAGTGTATCGGGGGAATGCATTCAGTGCAGTAAAATTTTGTGTGGATTTGTGTGCGAGGCCGAGATCCCACTAGCAGGCTGGCTGGGCCGCCTGTCGACCAGCCCGGGAATCGCATGTAGGCCGATAGCATAATAATTATAACGTATAGATGTATAGCAGGGAGTCGTATTATGTAAACGACTCCCTGCTATATAGGGAGATTTTCTGGAAAGAAGTACGAAGTAGGGAGACGAGTAAATGCAACTAGAATGGACGTTAGTTGCCGAATAGGTGACAGGAAGCGTCAACAAAAACATACTTTGGAAGAGAGATCCCGTCGTACCCAAAATACTCCTGACCGGGCGAGTCGGCGACGGTCACAGGAAACGTCGGAAGAGAGATCCCGTCGACTCCAGAACGTCCGTGATCGGCAGAGTCAGCGCCGGTCACAGGAAACGTCGGAAGAGATTCCGTCGACTCCAGAACATTCGTGATCGGCAGAGTCAGCGCTGGTCACAAGAAACGGCAGGACAGACATCCCGTCGACTCCAGAACGCCCGTGATCGGCAGAAACGAGACAGGTACGGGATAGCGCCAGGCATACCGATGGCACAAACAAACCAAAATATTGTGGCCAGCTGTTTGTGGGCAGCTGTCTTTGATGGTACGGTACGGGACAAATACGGGATAGCGCCTGGCGTGACACAAAAAAAGATAAAAAATTAAAAAGTTAACACCAAATATTAATCCCGTAGCTATGCAACAGACGTTACATCAGTATCGTTTGGCGCTAGCCAGGGTCCACACAGCTTTGACACGTTACATGCTTTCATTTCGCTCTGCAAAGAGCACTTGGGGTTCCCTGTAAAAAGACGGGAACGTCTTTAGGGATTTCCCTAACAAAATAATAAATGGCAATAAATAAGATAAATTCTGCACTCATAACAACAGCAAAAATGAAGAAAGTCAAGTTCCATAACGTTTTCTTGTGACTGTCATCAGTGGAACGCCGTCACATAAAAATGTAATAACTAAAACACACACTTATATACATGTAGCTAATATGGTTTCAGGTAGAAATACAGCAGCTAACAAGTACAAAAAGCGAAGTTTGCACCTTTGCAATGTGTGAATATAGTGTATGTGAGAAAGGTAGTGGCAGATGAATGTGATACTGTGTGAATGAATGAATTTATCTTATTTATTGCCATTTTACGACTATTGTCTCCTCGTCGACTGTTTAAAATAATAAATACTACTACTACTACTACTACTACTACTACTATGCATGATGAGCAAGCTAAAAAGCATAGCGTAGGGCCCTGAGCTTCCAAGCTCTCTCGTTCGGTAATTGTTTGTTGTGTCGCCGGGCATGCCTGGCGCTATCCCGTACGTGTCCCGTACCGTACCATCAAAGACAGCTGGCCACATTATTCAAAAGGGGCTTTCAACTGCAAGATCATAACGAGAAGCAATTTGGAAGAATGTGTATGTATGCGAAGTGTATCGGGGGAATGCATGCAGGACGATAGTGCGGGTTCTAATTTATGTTATGTCTTGAAAAAATTGGAGAAGTGAAAAAATATAACATCGCTATGCTTTTTTGCCTAGTCACAGTGTCGCACTATCGTTCGAATGTTTTTGGGTATGCTGCTAGTGGTCCGGGAATGTAAGGATCGGGTAGACTGAAGTGTTTTAATGGGCGTGGTTGTTGTATAAATGGAATGCTGAGATCATTAACAGAGGACTATGAGGAAGAGCAGAATGACAGGGGTGACAGTGTTGAAGCTCTGAGCAAATGGCGTCGGCAGGAGTGCCTACACGGAGTAGAAGATGGGAGAAGAGAGGTCCGGCCGCCTCGAGAGTCGCCGGGCTTGCGAAAGGCTACGGTGCTAGCAAGAAACAACAGAGCAAATAATCCCGTCGTTTGGAGACTCGCCAACTTCGTGAAAAGATGCGTCGACAGCAAGAGACTGCTGGACAGGCATCTTGTCGGCAGGAGAAAAGACGTGATCATGCCCGAACTTGTTCGGTATGCGGTAACTGTGATCCGCAGGCATAGTATATTGGGCCGTCATCTGTGCAATCTATGCCGCTATGCAAAATACGTTACTTTATCAGCTACATCATTGTGTTGCAAAAACGTTTCCATCGGTTCGAATAAAATTCATGATGAGCTAGGCAAAAATGCATAGCGTAGGGCCCTGAGCTTTAAAGCTCTCATAATTTGGTGCCAAAAATTAATATTGCACCAAACAATATAAACTGCCGCAGCATATCCTATCTATTCAGCAAGTCTGAAGATAGGCATGGATAGAGAATATAGGTCACTGAGGTGTGTGTGTGTGTGTCTGTGCGCGTGCATGTGTGCGGGCATGTGTGTGTGTCTGTGTCTGTGTGCAGGCATGTGCGCGTTTGTGTGATGTGTTCTTTAAGGGGTTTGTTTTGTTTTCTGTATTTCTTGTATCGCGGCTTTTCATGAAGGTCTCAGCAACTTCAAGAAACACTCCAGGAGTTGAAAAGAAGTCAAGAGGCCACAAGGGAGGTATGTGAAGCATGGGGGGGGGGGGGTTACATTTCTTTCTTGGCCGTCATTTGGTTTTTACACCGTCACATAAATGGTAGCTGGGAAACTTGGATGTAGCGGATTTGATCATTTCGGGAAAAGAAGTCAAGAGGCCACAAGGGAGGTATGTGAAGCATGGCGGGGGGGGGGGGGGGGGGGGGGGGGAGGTACATTTCTTTCTTGGCCGTCATTTCGTTTTTACACACATAAAATGGTAGCTGGGAAACTTGTATGTAGCGGATTTGATTTTCGGGGACCCCTTTAGGAGCTCCATCAGCGCCTTGATCCTTGAGAAGGGGGTAGCATTGTAAGACAGGGGGTGCGGAAACGTCTGACATCCACCACCAGGTCTGGAGCCAGGGACCCTCACTTATGCAGCGATGCTCCACCACAAAGCCATGGTGTCCAACAGAGACCGTTCAGTTTTCTTCAGTTTAAAATACTGTAAAATACACTGAATTTTGGCGCTGCAAACTTTCGGCATTTCACGAGCTTACGTGTAGATAGAAATGTAATTTAAACTTCACTTCTCAACTCCAAAAACGGTCTCTTCACTGCGATTCAAACCAAAATTAAAATTAACATTTAAAAATACACCAAATTTTCGGGCCTGGCCGATCAATGATCAAATACGGAATTACCCTGATGATGGGCCATCATCAGGGTAATTCCCCCCTCATCAGGGTAATTCCCCCATCATCAGGGTAATTCCCCCCTCATCAGGGTAATTCCCCCATCATCAGGGTAATTCCCCCATCATCAGGGTAATTCCCCCATCATCAGGGTAATTCCCCCCTCATCAGGGTAATTCCCCCCTCATCAGGGTAATTCCCCCCTCATCAGGGTAATTCCCCCCTCATCAGGGTAATTCCCCATCATCAGGGTAATTCCCCCATCATCAGGGTAATTCCCCCATCATCAGGGTAATTCCCCCATCATCAGGGTAATTCCCCCATCATCAGGGTAATTCCCCCATCATCAGGGTAATTCCCCCCTCATCAGGGTAATTCCCCCCTCATCAGGGTAATTCCCCCCTCATCAGGGTAATTCCCCCCATCGTCAGGGTAATTCCCCCATCGTCAGGGTAATTCCCCCATCGTCAGGGTAATTCCCCCATCGTCAGGGTAATTCCCCCATCGTCAGGGTAATTCCCCCATCGTCAGGGTAATTCCCCCATCGTCAGGGTAATTCCCCCATCGTCAGGGTAATTCCCCCATCGTCAGGGTAATTCCCCCATCGTCAGGGTAATTCCCCCATCGTCAGGGTAATTCCCCCATCGTCAGGGTAATTCCCCCATCGTCAGGGTAATTCCCCCATCGTCAGGGTAATTCCCCCATCGTCAGGGTAATTCCCCCATCGTCAGGGTAATTCCCCCATCGTCAGGGTAATTCCCCCATCGTCAGGGTAATTCCCCCATCGTCAGGGTAATTCCCCCATCGTCAGGGTAATTCCCCCATCGTCAGGGTAATTCCCCCATCGTCAGGGTAATTCCCCCATCGTCAGGGTAATTCCCCCATCGTCAGGGTAATTCCCCCATCGTCAGGGTAATTCCCCCATCGTCAGGGTAATTCCCGCATCGTCAGGGTAATTCCCGCATCATCAGGGTAATTCCCGCATCATCAGGGTAATTCCCGCATCATCAGGGTAATTATCCTGATGATGGGCCAGGCCCGAAAATTTGGTGTAATGTTTTGATTTTAATTCCCGTAGCTATGCAGAAGACGTTACTTCAGTAACGTCTGGCGCTAGCCAGGGTCCACACAGCTTTAATTCCCGTAGTTATGCAGAAGACGTTACTTCAGTAACGTACTTCAGTAACGTCTGGCGCTAGCCAGGGTCCACACAGCTTTAATTTGGTATTTGTTTGTTTGTGTGTTTGTTTGTTTGTTTGTGTCACGCCTGGCGCTATCCGTATCTGACGGCAAAAAAGCATAGGATGTTATAAATTTTTCAATTCTCCTATTTTTTTCAGGCATATCCTGGGATTCGAACCCGCACTATCGCCCTACATGCATTCCCCCATACACTTCGCATTCATACCCATTCTTCCAAGTTGCTTCACGTTATTATCTTGCGTTTGAAAGCCCTATTTGAATATTGCGGGCAGCTGTATGTGGCCAGCTGTGTTTGATGGTACGGTACGGGAGACGGTGTCGTATTACCCTCGATCGTACCTGTCCCGTACCTATCCCCTACCGTACCGTGCCATCAAAGACGGCTGGCCACAATGCATATTCAAATAGGGCTTTCAAATGCAAGATCACAATGTGAAACAACTTGGAAGAATTAGTATGTATGCGAAGTGTATCGGGGGATGCATGCAGGGCGCGCGATAGTGCGGGTTCGAATCCCAGGTTGTTAAAAAAAAAGGAATTTTTTAAAGAATTTATAACATCCCTATGCTTTTTTTTGTCTAGGTCATCAAGGCAAAAAAGCATAGCGTAGGGCCCTGAGCTTCCAAGCTCTCTCGTTTTGGTTTGAATCGCAGCGAAGAGACCGTTTTTTTGGAGTTGAGAAGTTAAGTTTAAATGTGTATGTGGCTGCGTAGGAGTTTGCGGACAATTAGAAAAGAAATGTAATTAACGCAATAAATAGAGAAAGCTGCGCACTCAGTACAAACACCATCAGCAAATCTTGTTTTCATGTAGAATTAATAGTTCCATAAACGTTTTCGTGGCCATCTCTTGGGAAGGATTACTGGCAAATCAAAATTAATTCAAAACTCAATATAAATACGCACAATGCAAGTAGTAACTAAGACCATACTGATTTAGCGCAAGCAATGAGAGCTGAAAGAAAGTTATATCAATCAGCGATATCAGGTGACAAAAAATGAGATAAATTCACAACCAGAAAGTAACCATGCAGTCAAAAAAGAAGTGAAAACTACTGATCTAAATTCACAAACGATTTCAGTGCAAACAAATTCTTTTTCACTCACATAGCAACCGGGTTGTACATGGGGTAGTGGTCTACCAGAATGTACTCACGATCCCGCACGACGAACCTGGGGACCACCAAAGGGAGTTGATGGGACAAATGACTCGCAAATCTATCGACAGTATGGGGGTCCCACTTCTTATCAAAATAAACAAACAATACGGCCGAAATAGCCCAGTCATCCATGTCTAGAATCCGTGAGAGATAGTCAGCCGTGGTATTTTCACCCCGGGGGATCCACTGTGCAAACAGTTCAATGTGTTCGCGTTGACAGAAACGAAAATTGTCAACAGCTTCTTGGTGCAGCGTTGGGTTACGGCTACCGTTACACAAAATGGACACCACGTTCTGGTTGTCGGTATTAAGACAAATTGCATGGCCAGACAAACGCGACACTAACGAGATTAGGGCAAAGCGGGCAGCAAGCAGTTCCCTCAATGTGGAGCTGGTGTGTGCGGCTGACATGGTCCAGGGCCACTCGCCCCTTGCAATTTCAACCCCGTTCATCAGGCTGAAACCACCCCACCCGGAGTCACTAGCATCCGTGAATACAAAACACAAAAAATAGCCATAACGAATAATACGTAAAACAAAATCTGAGGCACCAATATTTTCCCAAAATGCAATGCAGTGTAATAACCGCCCATGAACGTTATTGTCACAAGCACTTATCTCGTCAGACTCCAGCGGGTCTGGGCACTCATGCTCCGTCCATTCGTGGACGAGCTCCTGCAGTGGGCTGTGGTTGCTGAGTCCAGTGTGGTTGGCGACTACTGCCTCGGCCGAACTGGGGGCAATGCCTGCTGACGTGACCCAACTGTTGGCAGTTCCAGCAACGTGGGCCGCTTCCAGGGGTTCGGCCACCGTTGGCAAACGGTCCGTGGCCCGATGGCCTCCGCTCAAATTGGGAGTTGTTGCCGAAACTGGGGGCACGAAAATTCCTGCTTGGGTATGGCCTCTCAGTTTCAGGTTGGAAGCGCTCCCTGGGCTGCAGTTGCTTGAGTCGACGAGCAGTGGAGGCCGCGTCCGCGATCCGTTTGTCGTCAGCGAGGCTGTCACCCACGCTGCCCTCCTCATAAACTCTCACAGTCTCCCAGTCGAACGAATCTGCTATTTTCAGGTGCTTCTGCCTTTTGCAGATTTCGTGCTTACCCTGCGTCAGGAGTTCCTTGGCCTCGGGTGCGGAGTCCGGGAGCACCGATATGGCGGCATCCACCTTTTGCAACACAGTTTCATTGGTGGCGAACTGGGCCTGCAGCCCTGGTGACTTGAGTTTCGGCTTTGGGGCCTGGTTTATTTGGCTTGTTAGGGACTGCGCTGCTTTGAGTTTTGCCACCTCAGCGCGGGCCGCCGTGGCCTCCTCCTGCACTCCCTTGATTTGTGATGACAGGTCGGTAAATGCGGAGGCGAACCACGACGGCATCTCCTCACCTGCCGAGCTTGGTGTTGGTGGAGCAGGTGAGGTGGCGGAGGTGGCGGCTGGGCGGCGGCTGGCGGTCCTGGCAGGCTCAGGATGAGCTACAGGAGCCGTGGTTCCTTGGCTACGAGTAGACGGCATAATTTATTCTCCGGACGTCAAAAAACTCCACGCTCTACGAGGAATACAAGACCACGATGGCAGGTGGGGGAGAGTTGCGCAGTGGAAGAGCAGCAGAGCACGACAGAAAAATGGTGAGTGAAAAATAAGTTTTTTACACTCTTTCGCGACGCTCAGCCGTGAAAAAACAACACTTTTCTGCCTGCACAAGATCGGTTTGGTGGTAAAGATGTAGATGGACTCCGATACACGCAAATATCTTTGGCTACGTGAACGAGACCAAACGGAAAAACAACCATCAGTATAACTAGAGCGACAATCACTATTCTGAACAGAATGGTTAGCAACAGAAGATTCATACATCCTAACAGCACTACCAGAGCCTGTGCATGCTTTGGAGTTACGTGATAATGAAACCGACCTGTTAGTCCTTGCCTTTCTTGCCGTTCCTGAAGAGGTTGATGTTGATGATGATACTGAAGACACGTCCGTTAATGACATTGCCTGTTGCGTTGATGATGAACGTGACGATGATGTTGTCACTGCCGGTGTCAATGATGCACCCACTGGCAATTTTGAAGCTCTTTTTGACTTCAAGTTCTTGTGGCTGTTGATGATGAGGAGGAGGAGGATGCTGACAATGACGATAGTGATTCTGCCAATTTCGTCCTGGAGCGAGTCACTGGTCCACTCCTTCGGGAGAGTGAACCGTTTTCATCAAATGGAGTGAATGAGGGAATGAGGGAATGGGGCGAGGGATGAGAGCGCACGGACGACTAGTGTTGAGTCACGACTGGCAGCTGTTCGGCTGGTTAGTCACCCAGCGCTCCGTCAACGAGGGCATGGAGCTGATGCAAGCGCGTGGCCGAGGTGGCGCTGACTGGTTGGCAGCGGTTAGCCGAGCTAGACGACGTGCACGGCCTCAATAACGGAACTGCCACCCCAACACCGGCAACGCAGCGGCTGCAGAATGTTGAAGTTTGCCTTGTACATCCTGCCATTGTGTCATGCAAGTGATGTACATACATGTCTTTTTCCTGGTTAGAGTTCTACACGGGTCTTCTTTTTCTGGTTTGGGCTAAGGTCGGTCTTCCTTTCCTGGAATGAGCTCTAAACCATTCTTCCTGTTCTGGTTTGGGCTCAAGGTTGGTCTTCCTTTTCTGGAATGAGCTGTAGGCCGTTCTTCCTTTCCTGTTTTAAGTTCTGGGCAGGTTTCCCTCAACGGTGCAGGCTTCGGTTCCCTTTTTGGGAACACACACACACTGTGGAGTACGCCACATTTTTGGTTTTTCCACTGCTTTACTCCCCCCCCCCCACACACACACGCACAGTATGACACACATGCACACGCATGCACATGCACACACACACACACACACGTACACTCACACACGTACACACACACATATTAACTACAACACACAGCAGCTTGCGGTTAGGAGGGTGCTGGCCAGCGAAGTGAGAGGCTACAGAGAGAGCAGGATCTTGGCGGAGCCAAGAGGATAGTCACGTCCGAGGGACGAAGACCGAGAGCCCTGAGTAGCCGGAAATGAGCATGGCCAACACCCCCTTATTTACTTTATCAAAGTAAATGAGAGATGAGAAATAAGAGGTGGGTGGGTGAAACACAATGATCTGACAAGAGAGAGATCCACACACAGAACGGATCGAAATATAAAACTAAAACACTACGAGCAAGCAAGAATGATCGTCGCACAGAACGGATCGATAATATATAGCAGAGCAAACTCTAGCAAGACATGCAACGATGCATGCCACCCACGTTGAGCTACAAGCAAGCATCATCATAACGCCGCCACACGCTTTCCACATCGGAGGCGAGCGACACGCATGAACGCCCAAACTCTGGCATGACACGTTGAGTGCCCACGACGCATGCCGCCCACGTTGAGCGTCGCGCATGAATTTCATGTCGCGTTGAGTGTCACGTTGTATGACACATAGAATACCACGACGCATAGAGTACCATGTGAGCATGCACCAAGGCGTGTGACCGACATGGATACCGTGATGTACAGCGCACATGACTGTAACCAGCAGCAACGCATGAGCATGCAGTAAAGCGCCAGCAATCATAGCAGCATAGTTTGAGTGGTAGCACGAAGCAGCCGCGTGCACCCATTAATCTGCATTATTACTATAATGCTACTGTAACTACAGATACACAGTGTCACACAGCTACCCTTACAGGTCACACTGCCGTCGACCCAAGCACGAGCACTGTTAATTTCTATTTCTATCTTTGTCTGTGTTTCTTTTTGTCTGCTTGTGTGTGTGTGTGTGTGTGTGTCATCTCCCCCCCCCCCCCCCCCCCTCTCTCTCTCTCCATCCACATTCTAAGGCCCACAGTCAGGAGTGTCACAAATACCAATCGGCAATCGCACAGCACCGTGCCGAGATAGAGAACAGCCGTGCAGAGTGCCGGAGACTGCAATGGTGCAGTGAAGAGACTGGCAGGCAACGTGCTGAGGATGTCTGCAGGTAATGAGTGCCAATTGCTGTGTCAAAATCTCTTCATGTCCACACTTTGCGAGCTCCGACATGCAGATCGGTAACCGCACACGAGCAATATGCGCCAAGTAATTCCTGTATCGAATCTGTGTGTGTGTATGTGTGTATGTGTGTATGTGTGTACATGTGTGTGTGTATGCAGGTTACAGCGAGATTTGGAGGAGGTGCGCGCCGAGGCTGACCAGCTGCGTAGCACAGCGTCGCAAGACTGTGCTGCACGCGACGTGGAGACCAGAACCCTGCGTGAGCAAGTCAAGCTGGCCAGACAGCGGCAGGAGCAACACGACAAAGAACTAGAGAAGTATGAGCGATAGCTTTCTAACAGAAGAGGGGATACTGATTGTGTACTGATAAGCGCTCTATTCAGTTGCTATTCTCTGGGGATTTGTATGCAAAATGTCACTAAAAGCGCCATGTCGTTCTTATAAAAGCACGGATCATCGGACCGCGATTGGCCCATATGTTATAGTCTTGTGGACGCTGAATCGACTGGTTTTGGTCCGAAAAGGCTGCGATGTTGCGTGCGGCCCTTATTTTCAATCGAACATGGCTGGACGAGCGGTCACGTGCTCGTGCGTACACCAGTCACCTGGTCGCCGTGCCTGCAGGGCCGTGCAGGCTAACAGCATGTTTGAGCGAGTTTCTATCACTCGAGTTGACCTTTGCACCTTTGAGTTGAACCTTGGTGTGAAAATTGTCGCCTGCTGGCGTGGTGACCAGGTGACTGGTGTACGCAGGGGCACGTGACCGCTTGTTCCGCCATGTTCGATTGGGAATAAGGGCCGAACGCTACCGAATATCCCCGATTATAGGTCGCACCTTTTTACACTAAACATCAAGGGTGAAAATGGGGGTGCGACTTACAATCGAGCATGACTTACTACTGAAGTCAATAATTATATCAAAACAATATTGCTCAAACCTGGAAAAGGGGGATGCGACTTATAATCGAGTGCGACCTATAATCGGGGAAATACGGTACATCGCAGCCTTTTTGGACCAAAACCAGTCGACTCAGCGTCCAAAAGACTACAACATATGGGCCAATCGCGGTCATCCGCGCTTTTATAAGAACGAAATGGCGCTTTTAGTGACATTTTGCATACAAATCCCCATCTAGTAGGGCGCAGTCATCCAGTTTCGGTGGAAGTGCGCGAGTTCGATTTGGAATAAAGGAGGAAGGGAGCGACTCAGCTTCCTTTGACCAAGACCATTCGACCCGGCACCCCGAAGACTACAACTGGTGAACATTTGAGTTTAGGCTTAACTTCCTCTTTAATCCGTGCGCTCAGGTGCCGAACTGTTCTACCAACATTCCGGGTAGCACAACGCCGTCATTCAAAGTTGTATACAAGATGACTGAAGTGGTGGGTTGGTAGAATGTTCTTCAGCACCGTGAACGCACACATTGTTGTGTAGACGGGTGTGAAGTACACTGCATAGTAGGTTTGTATTACAACTAAACGGACTTCACGGCGCAAATTGATAGAATTTTAGATTTTCTTCTCCGGTGGAATTTACCGGCTTGTTTCTCCGACTTCCTCACGCAGAAACAACAAGAGTTCAGCCATCCGCAAGGCAAGAAGAAAACACTTGCTGACTTCTGATTGGCTGAGGGCGGTTGCTTATGGCTGAACTCTTGTTGTTTCTGCGTGAGGAAGGAGAAACAAGCCGGTAAATTCTACCGGAGAAGAAAATCTAAAATTAGACTCATTTCCTTTCCATGGTAAACATAAAAATACCTGACATCGAGTAGGTCCGATCATTACTTCTTTAGGTGTTGGAGTTGTTGACAAATACTTGACCAAAATACGGTCCGGGTAGCCATTCTTAGTAAACACCGAGCGGAGAAATTCAAGCTCATCCGCAAGTTTACTAGGGGAGCAAATGCGCTTTGCTCGGTCGGCGAGGTTCAGGACTAAGTTTACTTGGTACTGCGAGGAGCAATACGAGTCGAATGCGATATACTGTCCAGTGAACGTGGGTTTTCGATAACCAGAAGTCACAGTTCCGCAGTCAGTCTTCTCGACAAGTGTGTCAAGAATTTATTGGACTGCTCATGTTCACAAGTGAACCGTATGGAAGGATGGAGACTAAACATGTCGAGAAAGACTTCACTATCATGCTTCAGGGATGAATTTATCCTGTATCGCATCGCAGTTTGCGATGCAAAATCGATCTACTGCTACTCAAAAGTCACCGTGACTAGCAGGAAATTGCGATACATACAAGCTGTCCATGCCTAGCCTGCGCTGTCAAGTTACATGCATGCAGTGTATGTGGTGCAGGTACTCTCAATCTGCGTGCACATGGAGGCTTCAGTCGGGTTTTTTGCAAATGGGCTTTCAGGCATCACTATCAAGAAGGACAATGTGGTAAACACCCAACCTTCAAAGAATAATGCTAATCAAAATCAAACTGACTGCTACACAATTGTGATTTCGTATAGCAGAAACTGCTATGCAAAAATTTGACACTAAATTCATCCCTGTGCTTGGTGTTGAAATATGTACGAGTCATCAACAAAAAAACATAGAGATCTGGCCACATCGATGCATCAACTTTGGCTTCACAAAAGCCAACGAAAATATTTGTCAGTACAGGACCGAGCGGGGAACCTATAGCGGCAACGTCCGTCTGCTTGTACATAATGTTGTTGAATGAGAACTCGACACCCGTGGTGTCATCACGGGTTTGGGAACCGTGAACGAACTGCCTCTAGGCTCCTCGCCACGCCACACAACACAGGACTTGTGCAAATTGTTAGAGTACTTTTCTTCTACTTCATTTCAGTAGGCGACTGGGGAACTCATAAAGAAGAACCAACACTGACAACGAACGACTGACGACTGACACTGAGACAAGACGAGACAACAGAATATATTATAGTGAAGGCGTACAACGGGGACAAGACGAGCAAGTGTGTACCAACGGGGACAGAAGACGGTGCAGCCGCATGTACGCAGGAGTCGAAAACAGCGCAGCAGCATGTACCACGACTCAGCAGCATGTACAACAAAGAGACACAAAAGCAGCCACATGTACGACAAAGAGCTACACGTGCAACCGCATGTACACGAAGAGACACAAGCGCAGCCACATGTACAACACTATCCCCCATCAAAAAAAAGACATCCACTCCTGTGGATGGAAGCAATCAAAACAATATTAGAAGAAAGACAGGAGAAAAAGAAATCAAATGTGAACACAATACAGAGGAGAATAGAAAAAAACATGCAGGGCCAAAACAGTAAGAGACGTAACTCCGGACAAAAAGCCAAGGCACAAATGTGTGAAAAGAAAACAGACCGGGCCCACCCATAGAGGGAACCGCCATACTTTCAGGCGTGGGCCGCCAGGAAGTAACCACGTTGCCCTGGTACGAAGCCAAGGCAAACCGATGGCACTGCGAAGACCGCGGCAGCTGAACCGGGTGACCAGGCATCTGGAATCACAGGAGTTGTCCGGAAAACCATCACGCAGCAAACCATCACGCAGCCGATGGGGCTACGAAAGCTCACAGAGACAGAAAGACACACACAGAAAGAAACACGGACTGACGCAAACATCTCAGCCATCGCCGAAAATCAGAAAAGCACACGAAGGAAGGGAAGAACAGCCAGGAAGAACACGTCGACTGAAACAGGAGCAATTAATCAGTGAGGACACCATTGAGGACACACAAACAAATCGGTTACCAATACGCAAAAGATAATGAAGAAAAACCACAGGGCGCTACCCTGAAAACCCACAGGTCTCTAACCTGAAAAAACCCACAGGGATTGAACCTGAAAAAACCACAGGGATTGAACCTGAAAAACACGGAACTACATCCGCTTCGCAAAACCAAAAAACCTAAGAAAAAACTGTCAGGGACCGACTGGGGCGCGCAAGGGCCAACCAGCAACACGCGGAAACCATAACACCCGCAAGGCAAACCGATACAACAAAACACAGGATCCCTGCAGACCACCAGGCAGACCGTGGCTCACCATGATCAGACGCCCACCCAAACGAACTAGAGAGACCTACATGCCGAAACACAATTATTACAAAACCATACGCTCACAAAAAAAATTCAACCTGGATCCGAAACGAGAATCCTACATGAAGTTCACACCTCCCACCAAACCGGAAGCCACCAGCTTTCCGACTGGGTGCACAGTGCATGACCGAGCCTGACAACGCTCTGCACGGAACATGGAGAAACTAGTACTAGTACTACTACTAGCACTAGTGAAACGGTAGAAACACGAAACAAAACAATGGATCGACTACAAACGAGGCAGCACCTCGAGAACGTTCAGGTGGACATCCAAACAAATCACGCGACACAGTCACAATATCGGAGCAGTCCGGCGGCAACTCGGTCTCCGTGACAAGCACAAGTGCACAACACAAGACGAGATCAAAGCTACCCATGCTGAATTCACGACGAGCAAGCAAAAACAAGTTCCAGATTCGAACGCGTAGCACACGAACAGAAGTTTGAAATTTTCATACACACAACCGTACAGTACAGGGTAGTCGATCTACTAGTCAGAGCGACACAGGAACAACGAACACAACAGGGCGAACTTACAACGAGCAGCTAGACTCGTTGTACTCAGTCGGTAGAGCATGAGACTCTTAATCTCAGGGTCGTGGGTTCGAGCCCCACGTTGGGCGCCAAATGTCGTCACGGGTTTGGGAACCGTGAACGAACTGCCTCTAGGCTCCTCGCCACGCCACACAACACAGGACTTGTGCAAATTGTTAGAGTACTTTTCTTCTACTTCATTTCAGTAGGCGACTGGGGAACTCATAAAGAAGAACCAACACTGACAACGAACGACTGACGACTGACACTGAGACAAGACGAGACAACAGAATATATTATAGTGAAGGCGTACAACGGGGACAAGACGAGCAAGTGTGTACCAACGGGGACAGAAGACGGTGCAGCCGCATGTACGCAGGAGTCGAAAACAGCGCAGCAGCATGTACCACGACTCAGCAGCATGTACAACAAAGAGACACAAAAGCAGCCACATGTACGACAAAGAGCTACACGTGCAACCGCATGTACAACGAAGAGACACAAGCGCAGCCACATGTACAACAGTGGTAACCAACAACATCAGCCGTCGCGAAATGCGTCCTCAGGCAACCATGGCTCAATTAAATCTTTGTCACGGTCTAAAGCATTGGCACATATATCAATAGTCTCGGTGATCGGCACATTAGTGAAACGACTTACATCGAACGAACAAATGTGTGCAGAGGACGGAACGGACCTAGCATGCAGCTTCTCCACAAAATCAAAGATATCTTTCACGCAGTGCTTACAATAGTACTCTTCAACTACCTTTAATATACCACACAGCCATTTGGAGATAGCATACTGTGGCGAGGCCGTCATGGACACAATGGGACGGACCGGACATTCAGGCTTATGAATCTTTGCCAGGCCGTAAAGTCTAGGCTGCTGAGAACCAACTGGTTTCATGTGATTGAATTCACTAAAGATATTCTCAGCCTTTGATTTCTTTAGATAATCGACTAATTCTTTCTCTATTTTGATGGTTCTGTCAAATTGTGCAGCTGGACCAATCCGTTCGAACTTAGATGCATCAGTGAGAATAATGTTCATTTTGTCGACATAGTTATAGTTAGCTTAGAGTCTAGGCTTCTTCTGTTTTCTTGATCAGTTGACGAGCCACACCAACGACACTTACAGACAGTTGAATCTCTGGAGTACCGTGCTTGGCTGGACGGAGACGGCTTGGATGGCCCTTGTTTGGCGGGAGGACGCCAGTCTTGTGGTTGTCTGGGTGTGTGAGCAGCCGCGGCTAGGCTCATGGGTGCTTGTAGTGCCAGCTCTTTGTTGACGGACTCGGTTTTCCGGGCAGAGGCAATAGCATCGGCAAGCGTCGAAGATGTGTGGTCTTTTAGTTGTAACTGCTTCGAGACGGCTCTGTCCGTCATATGCGCGACGGACCTGTCCCTGATCCGTTCGTCGGGCTTGTCAAAGGCACAATATTTAGCTGCAGCGCGAGGCGGCGGACGAACTCCTCCACGGACTCTCCGGGATGCTGCGTTGTTTGCTCAAATATTGTTCTCTGGTGGATGACGTTCACAGCCGGTGTGAAGTATTGGTCCAGAGCTGCCGTGACGGAGTCGTACTTTTTCTTGGTGTCGTCCGTCAGCGGGAGAGCATCAAAGATGTTGTCGGCCTCGGCACCCATGGTATACAACAAAGTGCTAATTTGACGGGTTTCATCATCCCGATCCAACTTGGAGAGGGACCAAAAGCGCTCGAACCGTTTGGTCAACTGCGGCCACGACTGGGGAGAACTGAAGTCGAAGGGGTCTGGCAGGGGAAACTTGGCGGACGACATTGTGTTCGGTGTACTACAGGTTCCAAATCCCTGGCTAACAGCTCTAGCACATTTTGGATGCGCACTCCAACAGCCTTCCAACTTGGAAGGCACATAAGAGGTGCTAGAGCTGTTAACCAGTTAGTTGTAGAACGTCAGTACCGTCGGTCAGTGTCGTGCAATGTTATCGCATGAGCTGATTTGTTTAGTAACCGGCGGTGTTAGTGGACATTGTAGTTCCTTGGTCCTTTTTCTTTTCTATAAATGTATCCTTGGCTCTTCATCCGAGTCCAATCCTCTAAGCGTTATAATATCAGTATTGACCACAGTCTAGTTTTGCTCCCATTGTGTGGTTTGCCTGTCTATCGGCCGTTGTATTTTCTGAATCGCTTTGCTGGGGCTGTCCCCATGCCGCGGGCCGGTCTGGCCCTTTGGCCATCCGTTTGCCTGCATCTTCTGCGTAGGTACAAAGCCGAACTCCAAGCGTCGCTGGCACGGCAGTCGTCAATGGAGCGGACCCATGACAAGGAGCACTTGGAGTGGCAGCAACGCTTGGAGACCTGTCAGCATCAGCAGCATCAGCGTCAGGAAGAACTGGTTGAGGCACTGATGAAAGCCCGTGATGAGGTAGACAATGGTTCAGATTATTTGTAGTTTCCTTTGTTGGGACACTGACCGAGACAGAAAGGTGGAAAGGTGGAAAGGTGGAAAGGTGGAAAGGTGGAAGACGAGCATGATGCTTCCGCTTCCCCTAATTCCCTGTTGTCTGAACTGAGATCTGCGTATAATGCTGTGAGCAACACGTGCATACACCGACAAACATATCACCAGGCTCGGTCCACTGCTGATGATGGTCCGATTACCGTACTGGCTGTTGCTGCTGCTATGCCCAGGCAGCATACGAAGAGCTGACATGCAAAAACCCGCTAAATCCATTTCATCACTTTTCGGATAATGGCCAGAAAAGGATTCATGTTACGTGCGGTTGGTGTCTAGATCCAAATTTGGGTTCCAGTTTTGATATAGTTCTAGTTGGGTTTTGAATGTGAAATTTTGCCTGGTGGTGCCTCTCGACCTTTTTGATTACACGGAGCTGAAAATCTCACTTTCTCAAATTTGGCGTTTATCAGGTTTTGCATCTCAGCCCTTCAATCCTGGCCAGGTACTGTAAAAGCAGAAATGTTCGGTGGTGTTTCATTTCGGTAACTTCGGTGCCGACAATTCTTACCTAAAATAACACACGCCGAAAATGTCGGTACTAGTCCTAGACTGCTACCTGGAAAACGGGTTTACCGAAAATTTCCCTCCACCAAACCTGGAGAATACCGAAAATTTCTGCTTTTATAGTATTTAGTTACTACAGTGCTTCTGAAATTCGATCGCGTGAGTCAAGATTGCGCTCTGCACTCAGTTCACATACCAGTGTTCGCAGGTCTAGGGCTGCACAGCGCCCGGCGCGGCTTGTGTGTGTGTGTGTGTGTGTGTGAGTGTGTGTGTGTGTCTATGTGAGTGTGTGTGTGTGTGTGTGTGTGTGTGTGTGTGTGTCTATGTGTGTGTGTATGTGTGTGTGTGTGTGTGTGTGTGTGTCTATGTGAGTGTGTGTGTGTCTATGTGAGTGTGTGTGTGTGTGTGTGTGTGTGTGTGTGTGTGTGTGTGTGTGTGTGTGTGTGTGTGTGTGTGTGTGTGTGTGTGTGTCTATGTGGGTGTCTAATGTATTGGTTAAACCACCATTTCTCTGTTTCTAACAGCGTATTGGTTCTTACGGTGTGCACTGCTCTTCACAGGCCACAGCACTGGCTGAGCAGAGATTGTCTGAGCTATCGCAGCGGGACAGGGTACTACGCCTGCTGCAGGCCAGCAGAGCACAGGCGTTACGTGTGCTGGAGGAGAATGGACTGGTGAGATTGGTGACGGCACTGGCGCTTGCACTGTTTTACCTTGCTCTTGTCCACACTAGCCTTCCTCCTGTGACCCTGGGAACCTAGGGTAGGGAAGTACCTAAGTTGGGGGAGGGAAGTGTGAAAGCCCTTGCACTGTTTTACCTTGCTCTTGTCCACACTAGCCTTCCTCATGTGACCCTGGGAACCTAGGGTAGGGAAGTACCTAAGTTGGGGGAGGGGAGTGTGAAAGCACTTGCACTGTTTTACCTTGCTCTTGTCCACACTAGCCTTCCTCCTGTGACCCTGGGAACCTAGGGTAGGGAAGTACCTAAGTTGGGGGAGGGAAGTGTGAAAGCCCTTGCACTGTTTTACCTTGCTCTTGTCCACACTAGCCTTCCTCATGTGACCCTGGGAACCTAGGGTAGGGAAGTACCTAAGTTGGGGGAGGGGAGTGTGAAAGCACTTGCACTGTTTTACCTTGCTCTTGTCCACACTAGCCTTCCTCCTGTGACCCTGGGAACCTAGGGTAGGGAAGTACCTAAGTTGGGGGAGGGAAGTGTGAAAGCACTTGCACTGTTTTACCTTGCTCTTGTCCACACTAGCCTTCCTCATGTGACCCTGGGAACCTAGGGTAGGGAAGTACCTAAGTTGGGGGAGGGGAGTGTGAAAGCACTTGCACTGTTTTACCTTGCTCTTGTCCACACTAGCCTTCCTCATGTGACCCTGGGAACCTAGGGTAGGGAAGTACCTAAGTTGGGGGAGGGGAGTGTGAAAGCACTTGCACTGTTTTACTTTGCTCTTGTCCACACTAGCCTTCCTCCTGTGACCCTGATAACCTAGGGTAGGGAAGTACCTAAGTTGGGGGAGGGAAGTGTGAAAGCACTTGCACTGTTTTACCTTGCTCTTGTCCACACTAGCCTTCCTCATGTGACCCTGGGAACCTAGGGTAGGGAAGTACCTAAGTTGGGGGAGGGGAGTGTGAAAGCACTTGCACTGTTTTACCTTGCTCTTGTCCACACTAGCCTTCCTCATGTGACCCTGGGAACCTAGGGTAGGGAAGTACCTAAGTTGGGGGAGGGGAGTGTGAAAGCACTTGCACTGTTTTACCTTGCTCTTGTCCACACTAGCCTTCCTCCTGTGACCCTGGGAACCTAGGGTAGGGAAGTACCTAAAGTTGGAGGGGGGGGGGTACTAGTAGTGGATAGGGAGGTTATGAAAGGGGTTTGTGGGGGGGGGGGGTGGTAGTTCCGGGAAGTTGGAGAGGGGAGTACTTTGTAGTAGATGGGGAGGATACCAAAGGGAGGGGGTGGGGTTCCAGAAAGTTGGAGAGGGGAGGGGAGTACTTTGTACCGGATCGGGATGATATGAAAGAGAGAGGGTGTGTGTGTGGGAGGGGAAGGGGGGGGGGGGGTAGTTCCTGGAAGTTGGAGAGGGGAGTAACAGTTGTATCCCTGGTCGTCATTCCTTTTCCTGTCCCTAGCCCTCTCCCAGGCAGGTAGTCGGTTAACGCGGAATGTTTCGGAAGTTATTGATCCCATCCCAAACCCCGACCGCCATCCCCTCCTGGAATGATTACTGTTATAGCCTGTGCTGGCTCTGAACTTCACACCTGAAATGATTGGTTGACCGGCCTCAGCCAATCAGAGTTCAGCAAGGGTTGTTTCTGCCTGATACACATAGTCTAGCTGTCACATAATGATCAGTTCGGTCAAGCATCATAATGATCAGTTCGGTCAAACATCATCTTTCTTGTCGCTTAGCTTTGCCAATCTCGATTGCAACTTGGCTACCACATCTGCCTTCTTCTTTGGCGTCTGGCGCGAAATGCTGACACTCTTGTACACGGGTATAGGCGGAAACTCTTTGCCGGAAGCCACCTGCTGGACTTTGTTCATAGGCTGGCCGACATCGTCGTAGGACTTCTCCACATACACCTGCTTTGCTACGTAGTCACCCTTGTGGCGCGAAAACTGGCTTTCGTAGCGGAGTTCTCCACTGCTTGTCTTGGCTTGATGGCGGCCAACATTGAAATTATGGTCCAGGGCAGCCAACTGTGTCCGAGCTTCCATACCCGCTCAGCTGAAGTGGATGCGCTTCGGGACATACTTGGTCATGACACTGTGGAACACCTGCATAATGGACACACGGCAAAGCAATCATTAACTGCTACTATTGTGTAGTCAGGCAGGTGCATGCACATGTGTGTGCGCACGTGTGTGTGTGCACGCGTGCGCGCGCACGCGCGTGTGTGTGTGTGTTTATAGCAAAAGAATACTCGTGAAAGGTACTGCCAGTGTTGCAAGCATATGTACGTGTGGATTTGATCTACACAGTGGGTACCAGAACATTACCTCTAAATTTCCCGTGTGCTGAAATCCAGCCAGCTGTGGCAAGTCATTCAGGAGTCTTGTGTCAAACACCACGGAATGGAGTGCCTTGTACAACGCTGAGTCTACAACCTGTTAGAAAATTACCCCCACAACCGGTCTCAGGCATACCACGGCCAAAACACCACACAGGTCTGGAGAAGTAATTATACTAACTGGAAGGTTATTGTTTGTGCTAATACACACGACAGTACAACAAGAGAGAACTTTGTTCACAAAACCATCGCCATCGGAACACACCAGAACTACTGTAAAAAAGAGCCAAGAGCAGCATGTATCAGAAAGGAACTGGAGCATGCATGCGTACCACAGCAAGCGCAAACAGCTGCACAAAAGATGAAACATGACGCTGCTATTATGACAGCATACATGCATGCGTACAAGAAAGCCGCAACCACAGGATGAATCACGCACATGAATCACGTGACAGGCAACAAGAGGTAAGAAGTAATGTCAACTACACAAGACAGAGTCATACAAGAGAAAGTCATAGTTCGATTACAAACCTCTCGCACAATTTCACAACCAGCATGCTGCCAGTTAGCTGATCATTTCGGTCTATGACAACAGCTCCACATGTTGGACAGTGCCTTAGCAACTCGTCCAGCGAAGACTCGTACACCATGTGAATGCTGTCTTTCTCCCGCTGCGTACTCTGGAGCTGTTCTGATGCCTCACTGCACGATCTTGGGCAGTATTCGGCCTCCGACTCTGACATAGGGTCAACGCTCACAGCTGACTCCGCACTCGAGCACGTAAACGACACAGCAGGCTTGGTTGGTGTCAACAGGTGGGACTGCGCCACATGCGTTCCAAACAGGGGCCTTCCCCGGCGTGGTGTTTGTGTTGATCTCTCTTGGTGCTCAATGGAGGCTTGTGTGCCGCATTCTGCCGTGGACGTGCAGCTACTGACAGTTTGCGTTCCGGATTCAGCCGTTAAAGTCTCCAGTAAAGACGAAGTTTTTGATTTTAGGGTGAACTTCCCCTTTAAGTCACCAGCAAGCCAGAGAAGCGGATTTTTACTAATTTCTCATTGTTGTACCCAGTGTTCCACCCAGTGCAATCTCGTGCTGCATTCTACTCTGCTGTCCAGGAAAATCCTGGAGGGGAGGCAGAGCTGGTTGCCCTTGCAGAGGACACAGCGCTCGCAACCGATTTGCAGATTCAGAATGAAAATCTCCGCACTGTGATCCGAGCAATGCGTGAAGAGATGGAACAGCTCGGTGCCAAGTCAGCTGACACGGCGCAGAAGTACAGCTTTTCTGACAAGTCAGGTACGTGTGAAAGTGCTGCACACTTGCGTGCGTGTGTGTGTGGGGGGGGGGGGAGGTATGTGGGTGAGTGTGGGTGTGCATGCATGCATGTGTGTGCTTTTGTGTGGGTGGGTGTGTTTGTGTGTCTGTACGCGTGTGTGTGCGCACGCATGCGTGCTTGTGTGTTTTTGTGTGGGTGGGTGTGTTTGTGTGTGTGTACGCGTGTGTGTGTGCGCACGCATGCGTGCTTTTGTGCAAGTGGACGACAGTGACCGTGACATGCTATTGCAACCTGTATATCCTGCACATTGCAGACTACTCTGTGGCACTGGAGAAAGAGTTATCAGACGTGAAGCGTACTAATCGCGCTCTAAAGCTAGCGCTAGAGGAAGCGCAGGTGGCGGTGACATCAGCCAAGGCAGAGTCGTCATCTCAAGCCGTCGCTGTTCGGCATTGCAGTGAGGAGATGTCACATCTCCGGGCACAACTCGATGAAAGTCGACAAACAGTTGGTAAGCTGCAGCATGGTGTGTGTGTGTGTAGTCGGCGACTCTTAGTTGTCCTTAGTGTGCAATTCCATGGCTTGGGTATACTCAAGTTGTGTGATGACCAGGCATTGACGAAAATAGCATCTGTCATAATTATAACAAGCTACACATACATGTAGAACAGAGCCTCTAGTGAATGCCAAATGCAGCTGTGTGATGATCAAATGCAGCTGTGTGATGATCAAATGCAGCTGTGTGATGATCAAATGCAGCTGTGTGATGATCAAATGCAGCTGTGTGATGATCAAATGCAGCTGTGTGATGATCAAATGCAGCTGTGTGATGATCAAATGCAGCTCATAGCCAGCAATCGCATGTCACCACGTACATTCAAAATCAACATAATTTTGCGAATCGACCTTTTTTTCAGGATCACTTTTCAACGAGGATGAAGCAAAGTCGGCCGAACGAAGCCTAGAGGAAGAAAATCACCCTCTCCACTTCACCATCACGATACTGACATAGATACGAGATGAAACAACTAAAAAATCCACAAGAAAACTGTACGGCCATCATCGCGCTGACTTTGGTCTGACTTTGGTCTGAGAATTTCTATCACGATCAAAAATGTACGAGGAGCACTCAAAAATAAGCCACAGACGTACCTTTATCGCTCTCTACCCCTTTTTCAAGGCACAAAAGTCGACTCTCCACTTTCAAACCAGGAACCAGACATACCAGTGGTCCTTTTCAGCTGCTCCACGAGCCCAGGAAAGGTTCACCAAGGGGCGCAGAGCAGCATCCATTCCAGAAAAAGAGCTAAAATACGAGTGAGACTGCATGCCTGAGTACATGAGTACATGTATGAGTACATGCAGAAAATAGTCAATTTCAGCGTTTCTGCTCCAAACAGCAACTAGCTTCGACTAGAAACAAAGATTACACCAAAGGATCAAACAACAACCATTTTCTGCAGTTTTTTTGCAGATGGCTTCCTTGTGCTTGGCCCAGCACGCCAAAAATCACACCTCGGAGGAGTACAAAAATTACAACTCTCAGATGTCCTCGATTGCTGGCCATGGTGTGATGATCAAATGCAGCTGTGTGATGATCAAATGCAGCTGTGTGATGATCAAATGCAGCTGTGTGATGATCAAATGCAGCTGTGTGATGATCAAATGCAGCCGTGTGATGATCAAATGCAGCTGTGTGATGATCGCTGACATGCATGACAAGTTACAGCTAGACAGCCTTTCGGTTCCGTTGTGTGCGTATACTCGTCAGGCGAAATAGCACGTCATAGTACATTCGAGATCAGCGGGAAGAAGATGACGACGTCCACTAATTTAGTATCTGTGCACACGAATCTGCTGTGTGTGTTACTCTGTGTGTCAGCTATGGCATTATCGCCTGTGGTTCCATGCCTAGCATGTACGTCTGAACCATCCTGCAAAGTTTGAATGACGTAGGTTGAGCGATCGCTCCGCGAAACATACTTTTTGAAATTCTCTTCATAGTATATCTTCCACCATTGAAATTTCGAATTTCTTCGATTTTTTTGCTGAGAGGGATGGCTTGCAACCTCGATATGGCTTGTTCCAGGCATGCTTTGGAGCCATCGCCTGTTGAAGTAGTGGCGGGGATCTGCCCTGCAACTGCTACAACAAAAAATGATTCGATCTGAGAAAGGGTGAGCCCGCGAATCTCGGTTGAATATTGAGTATTTCAAGCCTTTTCACGACGAAGATGGAGTTCTTTTTGGAGATGGACATCGCGGCAAAGGACATGGTGTCCGACTTCTGGCATCTGGTGAAGCCAGGGATCATTTGTCCAGTCAGGTCGGCAGCCTAACCGTCGGTAAGCTTGTGTTTGGATCCCGTTCTGCTCGATGTGGTAGATCACAAACAATTTGATATCGCACAAATTGATCTCAGCATCGTGCGTACGGTATTTTATATTCAGAAAATCCCAAAGTGTCTCTGTGTGGCCGTCCTATGCCACGAGAAACTCCAATCAGGCTCCTATGTCCTCTGCCTTCATGATTGAATGTCCACTTCGTCACTTGAACACCGAACACAACAATCGAGGACGGCTTTGCAATGAAAAATACAGCTATACTGGAGCTGAAAAAAGAAGAAAAAAACGTGCTCAGGATGAGACTCGAGTACACGCATACTCTCCCAGCAAGTGAAACGCAAATTTTTGTGAAAAATGCGTGTCGCCGACTGACCAGTAATTTCGCCTGACGCTGCTCTGCACATTTCTGCATTGAGCACTCTGCATTGAGCACTCTGCATTGAGCACTCTGCATTGAGCACTCTGCATTGAGCACTCTGCATTGAGCACTCTGCATTGAGCACTCTGCATTGAGCACTCTGCATTGAGCACTCTGCATTGAGCACTCTGCATTGAGCACTCTGCATTGAGCACTCTGCATTGAGCACTCTGCATTGAGCACTCTGCATTGAGCACTCTGCATTGAGCACTCTGCATTGAGCACTCTGCATTGAGCACTCTGCATTGAGCACTCTGCATTGAGCACTCTGCATTGAGCACTCTGCATTGAGCACTCTGCATTGAGCACTCTGCATTGAGCACTCTGCATTGAGCACTCTGCATTGAGCACTCTGCATTGAGCACTCTGCATTGAGCACTCTGCATTGAGCACTCTGCATTGAGCACTCTGCATTGAGCACTCTGCATTGAGCACTCTGCATTGAGCACTCTGCATTGAGCACTCTGCATTGAGCACTCTGCATTGAGCACTCTGCATTGAGCACTCTGCATTGAGCACTCTGCATTGAGCACTCTGCATTGAGCACTCTGCATTGAGCACTCTGCATTGAGCACTCTGCATTGAGCACTCTGCATTGAGCACTCTGCATTGAGCACTCTGCATTGAGCACTCTGCATTGAGCACTCTGCATTGAGCACTCTGCATTGAGCACTCTGCATTGAGCACTCTGCATTGAGCACTCTGCATTGAGCACTCTGCATTGAGCACTCTGCATTGAGCACTCTGCATTGAGCACTCTGCATTGA